CCGTACAAAGCGAAGAATTAGTGCTGTATATTTTCATCGGAGAGAGGGCTGTGAGTTCGGTGTTGCTGCGAGAAGAAGGAGTAGCACAGTTCCCTATTTATTACATAAGCCGGGTGATGCAGAGAGCAGAGATGAGGTACTCGGAGATCGAGAAGTGTGCTTTAGCTGTGGTGGTAACTGCTCGAAAATTGAGGCCTTATTTCTTAAACCATAAAGTGAGGGTGCGAACGAACATGCCATTAGGGGAAACACTCGGCCGGCCATCGGTCTCTGGTCGATTAGTAAAGTGGGTAGTTGAGCTGAGCGAATACTCTTTATCGTATGAGCCGAGGAGGGCCATAAAGGCGCAGGTGTTGGAAGATTTTATTCAAGAAGGCACTAAGGTCGAGGAGGAGTCTGGAGGAGTGTAGCATTTATTCGCGGATGGGTCTGTGGCCAGAAGTGGGGCTGGGTTAGAAATTGTCCTTGTTTCTCCTAAGGGCGATAATTTGGAGTTTGCGGCCAAAGTGGGGTTTAAAATATCTAATAATGAGGCTGAGTATGAGGTGGTGATCAAAGGCCTGCGGTTAGCCATGACGGGAGGAGCTCGAAAAGTGCTGGTACATTCTGATTCCCAATTGGTAGTCGGGCAGTTCCAGGAGGGATTTGAGGTTAAGGAGGATCGAATTCAGAAGTATGTAGATGAGATGAAGAAATTAAAGGAGGAGTTTTAGTCGTTCGAGCTTATACAGATCCCTCGAGGAGAGAATGGTCGAGCAGACTTGCTAGTGAAAATTGCTCAAAGTTTGGTGGACTGTCGGAGTAGAAGTGTCACTCTATTACACTTGGGGAGGAGTGAGGTCGAGGCGGAAGTGGCAGAGATCGAAGAGGTGGAGGATTGGAGAAAGGAGCTGAAAGAAGGGGCAATAAAGGTGGTGAGGAGATTTTTCGAGCAAGGAGGCATTCTTTACAAGCGATCGTATGCTGGACCGCACTTACGTTGCGTAACCAAGGAGGAAGGTCGATATGTATTGAGAGAAATGCATGAAGGATGCTGCAGTGATAATAGCAAATCTGGGGCCTTGGTTGCAAAAATTCTGAGGGCAGGATAATTTTGGCCGACGATGAAAGAGAACGCAAAGATGATGGTGAAAAAGTGCTTACAATGCCAAAAGCATGGTCCACTTATTCACCAACCGGCAGAAATGATGACGACGATGAGTGCCCCAATATCATTTGCCCAGTGGGGGATTGACCTGGTGGGGCTGATGCCGCAAGGAACTGGGCAGAGGAAGTTCTTAATCGTGGCGGTAGACTATTTCACAAAATGGGTGGAGGCCGAACCTTTGGCAAAAATCACGGAGGAGAAAGTAATCATATTTTTATACAACAATATTTGCTGCAGATTCGGCGTTCCTAAAGTATTAATCTCCGACAATGGCACTCAGTTCAATGGCAAGCGGATCCGGGCATGGTGTGAAGACATGAAAATCGAGCAGCATTTTGCATCTGTTGCTCATCCACAGGCTAACGGCCAGGTCGAAGTAACCAACCGAATCATACCGAATTGGCTGAAAACAAGGCTGGAAAAGGCCTCGGGGGCGTGGGTGGACGAGTTGAGCTCAGTACTCTGGGCATATCGCACAACTTCGAGGTCGACAACATGAGAAACTTCCTTCAGTTTAGCTTATGGGATGGAGGCATTGTTGCCGGTCGAAGTCGAGTTGTCATCACAGAGGTAGAGCACATATGATTTGGAGCAAAACAAAGACTTAATGGTGGTGGCTCTAGACATTATTGAGGAGCTGAGGGGGAGAGCCGCAGTTAGAGTAGAGGCTTATAAGCAAAGGATGCGAGCGGCTCACGACAAGAAGGTGAAAGTTCGCAGACTCCAAGTAGGCGACCTGGTTTAGAAACGTGTCGATGTGCTCAAACATGTGGGGAAACTAGAGCCGAACTGAGAAGGGCCATACCTGGTCGAGCGAGTGCACGCAGAAGGAGCGTACTCGCTAAAGGATGTCGAAGGCCGATCACTTACCAGGTCATGGAACATAGCTAATTTGAAAAAATATTATGTGTAAAATTTTTTGCTTTTTTTCAAAGAAAGCTAGAAAATTCGAACAAAGATGTAAATCGCAAAGTTTGCTCAAAAATCAATGAAGTTCAGTTATCCTTCTGATTTTACTCGATTTATTGCACATATTCTTATGCTTGGAATGTTGGTATATTTGGATGACAGTATGTATGTGGTGTGGTCTGACTTGGAAGTCACTTGTTTAGAACATCCCTTGGGGTGGGCTGGTTGGTCGAAGACCTCCTGTTTAGAACATTCCTTGTGGGTGGGCAAGTGTGAATACCAAAACCCACCATGACTAAGGCCCTCGGGCTGGGTGGTCACTTGTTTAGAACATCCCTTGGGGTGGGCAGGTTGGTCGAAGAACTCCTGTTTAGAACATTCCTCGCGGGTGGGCAAGTGTGAAGACCAAAACCCACCATGACTAAGGCCCTCGAGCCAAGGTGACGCGAGTATACGTCATAAGAGAGGTCACGAGTCATAGGCTCTAAGAAAGCCGCAAAGTCAAGGTTATGCTCACGAATGAGAGATTTAACGTGAGTTAGGGTGGACCTATTAGCCAGACCACGGGCATTCCATGTTAGCGATGTAACTGACATGTCAAACGTCAGTGGATTCGC